CTTTTGAAAGTAGCAAAGCGCGTGTTTTAAAAATAGCTTGCCCTGTGCACATTTAATGTTAGCGTCTGCCCTTTCGAACCCTAACTTTCCTCTACCTTCCTCTACCGTCGTTTCCTGTGTTTCTCTCTCTCACACACAAACCCATACATATATGCTTTATGTCTCTCTCTCTCTCTCTCTCTCTCTCTCTCTCTCTCTCTCTCTCTCTCTCTCTCTCTCTCTCTCTCTCTGTCTCTCCCTTTTTTCTTCGCATCTCTCACAACAAGGAGATATGTTTAAAGATGCGTAAAAAATGTATCCTACGTTTCGATAAACAACGTCTAAATCCTTTTCTTGCTTTTTTAAACATCCTGAAAGTCCGATATTTAGTAATTCTTTATCAAATTATCTTTTTTTTTATGATCACGTAATATATAAAAAAGAAAAATGAAAAAAAAAAGAAAGTAAGTCACAAGTTACACATGGAACACAACATAGGACCATCATCTGACAAGATGGAGGGTAAAAGCAAGAAATCAATACGATGAGAGAAGAGGAAGAGGAAAGAGAGAAAGAGAGAACTGTGCCATGGACCGCTATGCCGTTGTTACCGCGCAACGCATCAACCCCGTTCATAAATATAACGTATATCGATATTTTACGCAACATTATTAAAATCCTTCTTCTCGTCGATGTAAACAATTTATTGCTACAATGAATTAACGAATTCGAGGTTGAACAACACATATTTACAAACTTTACGAATCAACATGCTGAATCATAAACATAGATAAAATTAATGAACCGAATTACGTCTAAGGAATAATAAAATCTCGAAAACAAACGAATAAATAAACAAGCAAACAAACAAAGAGAAAGTTGAAAAGATCTTGAAAGAAAATGAATCATATTTTCGATCATAATAAGAATGACTAATGTTTTTAATTTTTCTAACACTTGTTTTCGACGTATGCAACTTATATATATATATATATATATATATATATATATATAATATATATATATGTATAATATATATAATTATACATATACAAATGTAGCAAGTTTAGCACTTCGCTGAATGAGTATATTACGATAAAGAAATGCAGGTCAACGGTGCATATGCAAATTTTTTTTAATTAACAGGTCGTTAAACGAATTATCTTTCGAGTTAAACAATTAGCTTCGTTCTCTCGGTCTGTTTTTCGTCCTATAATCCTACGACTTTGTCGTATCATGTCTTTTCTCGCGTGGGTGTTTGAACGAGCGTGCTGATCTTTCGCGTGACAGTAAGTGCATTAGCACTTGAATATTTCGTTCAGAAGAATGATATATTTGAGTGACCACCGGATTTCCTATATTATCAATAAAAAAAAAAAAAGAAAAAAAAAAAAGTCGTCCCAAAGCTCTACAAAAAAAAAGACATGGTTAAAGAATAAGAAGAGAATTTGTTTATCAAAATGAAATCATTAAATTTAGAAAAAAAATTCAATCTATTTTGAAACAGACATTAATAATGAATATGCGTCAGATTAATTAAACGTCAAATCCTCTTTAATACCAATACCACAATATACCACTACAACATTCGTATCGTTCATCTATAAAAATGTTAATGCATATACATAGTGATTGTATTGATAACATATTATATTTTAATACAAACAAGTTACCAACTTACTTTCGAAAGGGACTATAAGCACTACCCCAAATGCTGCCCCTGGATGGAGAAGGTGGACTGTTCTGATTCTGATTACCGTAGACGTAACCACCGAGAAACATCTTGCGTTGATGTGTTTTGGACAACATTGATAACAATATAATAATAACAACAATAAAAAGTGTCACACGTTTGTGCGTGATTCTTCGTGTTCACGTGTAAAAGTATAATGTTAAAACTATCTATATGTTATTTATATTAAAATATATGTATATTTATATGTGTGTGTATATATATATATGTATATATATATATGCACATATATACGTATATGTACACGCGTATTCTTGTAACACACAAAAAAAATATAATGTATGTGTATATATATATATATATATATAACTCGTTTATTCTTAATACTGAACGTCTTGTACTTTAATAATTTAATTTTATAGTTCGAAAGAATTTTCAACGTAAAAATCAGTCAATCATTCAGTCTCGTTTGATCACAATTACGCACATAAATATATATATATATATATATGTACGTATAATGATATGCACTTTTCTTCGTGAAAATAAGTCTTGTTCTTTCTTTCTTTTTTTTTTTCTTTCTTTCTTTTTTTTCTCCCCCTTTATTGTTCCTTTTTCTCTTCGAACGTACAACTACGAGACGGCATCGTAATCATTTTTTGGCGTATGTACTTCTCGTACGTGCATTGAGAAAAAGTTGCAGAGATGCACATGAAGCAGAATTCGATGCGTGTGGCCAAAGAGACAAACTCAATGTCTATTATCTGTTTGTCTCTGACGTTAATCTTTTAACATGGACGATTTCATTCGACGTGCTACACCACTGGACCCGATTAATCGAGATAACTATCCACTTTGAGATGATTCTCCAGATGATTCAATATAAATTGTACACCCGTATACACGTATATGTATATATACAAAAACGTACGCACAAACAACACACACATAGGCAGATACACATTTTAAAGCATATACTCCCGTGTTTCGTTTAACTCGCGCATTTTATCTATCAAGCTCATAAGTTTAACAAAAAAAAAGGTTAAAAAAAAAAAAGAAAAAAAAAGAAAGAAAAAGAAACAAAAAATAAAAGTTAACGGAGAGAGAAAAAAAATAATCTACGATAAAACGAAAAGTTCTCTGATGAGTGTCGCGCGCATAGTTTTCCTTCGTCGAATTTAATGAGAAGTATAATAAAAAAAAAAAAAAAAAAAAAAAAAAAGAAAAAAAAGAAAAAAAAATGAAATCGTCGAAAAGCGAAAAGAAGAAAAAGACAATGTCAACAAATGAAACAAGGAGAGAAAAAAAAACACTGAAATCTTGACGATCGCGTCAAAAAGCTATTATTGCGTGAACACTTATCACAAATGATTTGTTCTTTCGTATGATCCTCCTAAAGAAGAAAGATCTCTTCTTTACTGACAACATTTTATGTCCCATTCTTGTACGATGAATTAAAATGTTCATTGCGATGATAATGATAACAACAATTTTATGTCCATATTTTTCTTTCACTGACCGAGTTCACGAGTTCGATCGGCACATCGTTATTTTTCTTTCTTTCTTTCTTTCTATCTTTCTTGTTTTGTCTTTTCTTATCTTTTTTCTTTCTTTGTCTATTCGAAAATACGTCGGAGATAAAGCTCGAACACGAAAAAGTATGTTGATACTAAACTCGCTCGAACGACGTACGAAATGCGACTGGGTACAAGTCGCAGCATGGTTGATACTGACTAGGATCAGAAGGGTGGGGAGGATGGAAGGTTTAAAGCTGGAGAATCACGTAGTAGAGATGACATGGAGGGAGAGAGAGAGAGAGAGAGAGAGGAGAAAGAGTGAGAGAGAAAAAAGATAGGGAGGGACAGGACCCCTCAGAAGGAATCTCTTGAATTAGACATAAAATGAGAGAAAAAACTAAAAAGCAAAGGAGTAATAAAATAATAATAATAATAATAATAATAATAATAATTCTTAATAAAGTTATAATCTAATTTATAAATACTAATCTGTAAAAATATTAATAATTTTTGGAAGATTATATGAAAATTTTATTATTTTATTTTCTTTGACAGTAACAATACCAAGTAGACATTTGACAGTAAAAATAACAAGTAGACATCAGTTTGTAAACAAGATTTGTAAAAAATAATAAAAGTTTGTAAAGCATTGTTACTTTATACTTATATGAATTAAATGTAATATTTATTGAAAGAGGGGACTTGTTTTTCAAAAAGATTTTGATAGAAGTTAAATTGACGTATATGCAAGAGATTAGAAAATATAACTATATCGAAGACTGACCTATTGCCTTTGGAAGATAGATAATAAGCGTTAATGTAAGCAATCAATGAATTCAAGATTTATTGGCTACAGAAGACCTTGTAAAGAAGGCAAGTGATAGTATAAGTGTCAATTTTCAGTCAATTTTCAGTCAATTATCAGACCCATAAATGTAAGTATATCTAATAGAAGGAATTATCAACATATGCAAGATACATGTAAACTTCTTTGCATGACTCGTTTTTAGCTTTTAAATCTTTTCTTATAATATAATAAATATATTTTATCCAACAATATATTATATTATCTAAAAGAAAATTTATTGTTATAATATTTTTAAATATTGTAATATATTTTTCTTTTACATAAGTTACATTTTATGAATCATTAATTATGCCTATATTATTATGCCTATTTCTTTAAAACCTAAATATATCACATATATTTGAAAAAGAAATAAGAACTCTTCAAGATATTCATTGTCTCTTTAGACAATGAATATTTGTATAATAAAATAGTTTGAAAAATTGTTCTACTCACGTATCAAAATACTGCAATATAGCAGCTGTGTCGTCGAAAATTTGGGCCATCTTTTTGATATCCTGAGATATGATTTCATGAAGATTCCTTTTGAATTAATGCAACACACACGTTTCTTAAACCGTCAGATTTTAAAACAATAGTTTACCGTGCGGTCATCTTATGCACAGACGCGGTACAACAAGCTAGTCGCAAGGCTGCCAACTTTAAAAGAAGCTCTAAGTTTTATGAGAGTTAATTTCAATGATTTAGCCATATAATTTAAAGAATGTTGCAATATTTTTATGAATACACCATTTTTTCTTTTAGATTTTGTAAAATATAAATAATAAATCTTTAAATAACCTGTATGTATATAATAATTATTCTCATAGTTACCACACCTGAAAGTTGTTATTGACCAATAAGAGAGCAGAATTCAAAAGTCGTAATAAATCTTTTTTAGAAATGATAAAATCTTTATGTATCTATGAACCTATATAATCATATACTTCAAAAAAAAAGTATATCTGTATTTAATGATCGTTATCAGTAAACTAAAGGACTTCAAGTCTTCTATATGTAAATGATAAATGATTAAGTTGATTTTACATCGATTACGTTAATCGACTTTGCGACGAACTAACGCGACTTTATCATTGAAATATGAATATACTACAAAATTTGTTTAATTTCTTTAATATAATTGTTATTAATCTAATTGTTATTGCAATATGTATCAGTACAAAGGAACAAGAATTTCGATTAGTAAACGTGGTAAAAACATAAAACATTAAGTGTTCTTTAATTTGATTTTTAAGAATAAAGAAATACAAGTTATACCTTTTTTTTTATAGATATTTAGGCACGGAGATCGAACGCCAAATAAAGAATTATATCCAAATGATCCATATAAGACATATGATTTCTATCCTATGGGTTTTGGAGAATTAACAAATGTATGTAGATTTATTAAATTGCTACATAGTATTTATAAAATGTATTATTCAAAAAATATAAATTTTTTACATATTTCAGAATGGTAAAAAGCGTGCGTATGAATTTGGAAAATTTCTCAGATCAAGATATAGAAACTTCTTAAATGACATTTATACACCAGAACTGATAAAAGCCCACACTACAGATTATTCAAGAACAAAAATGTCGTTATTACTTGTTCTTGCAGGATTATTCCCGCCTAAAAATATTCAAAAATGGAATTATGATTTAAATTGGCAACCAATACCTATTACATATGTTCCTTGGATTGAAGATAATATCTTATTACCTATGGATTGTCCTTCGTATGTTTAAACAGTATAAATTTTATGCTAATAAATTTGCACTTAACTCTTATAAAATCTTAAATTTGACTATTTATAGATATATAGAAGAATACCAAAGAGTTTTAAAAACACCTGAAGTCATACAGAAGATGAATGAATTTAGTGAAATGAACTCCAATTTGACAAAGTGGAGTGGTAAAAATATTAGCACTCCTTTAGATATGTATTCTTTATATAATATTCTTATGGCAGAATGGATGATGAATCTTCCCTTGCCTGAATGGACCCGCTCTGTATTTCCAAATGGCCAACTGAAAGATGGCATCATTTACTCTTATGAAGTTTCTAATTCAAATACTAAATTGAAAAGACTTTCTGGAGGTATACAAACATACATGATATAAAAGTAAATTTGAAGATTAATATAGATTTATATTTTAGGTCCATTACTTCAAAAAATGGTAGAAGATATGTTAGCTTTTAAAAATGGAAAATTAATAAAAAGAAAGATGAATTTATATAGTGGTCACGAAACAAATATTGGTAGTATGTTAAGTGTTTTAAATGTGTATAAACCACATATTCCAAAGTATTCCAGTGCTGTTATATTAGAATTGCTTCAAAGTAATCAGACTTATTATGTTAAGGTACTTAATTTTAAGACACTTATTTGTAAATATTTTCAATATCAGTATCATATTCATTTTACTTTTATTTTTTTAATTAATGTTATTTATTAATGTTATTTTTAGGTTGTTCATTACACAGGCATTCCGTCAAAAGCAATAGAACTCCAAATACCAAATTGTCAAGTGTTATGTCCATTTGACAAATTTATGGAAATAACTGCTTCTGTTCGTCCCTCCAATGAAGAAATAATATGTGACAAAACACAAACGAACAAATAATTTGTTAGACATACCATAAACTTATATAAAAATTATAAAAACTAAATATATATATATCTTTTATATATATATATATGGAAATGTCTACTAATATAAAATCTTATGCATTATTCGTTTGTTAATTCTTTTACATAATTACATTTGTACAATAAGTGATTAACATCCATATAATGATCCCCAGATGAATAATAAATTATATAAACTATGTAGTGGATTATAAATGATTAATATGATCATGTGAAAAAATCTACAAAGTTGATTTTACTCTCCTCTTACTTGACCATGCTGGACTTTGTGGTTTAGTTAAAGGTTTTGTAGACTTGACACGAATAAGTGGTTTATATACTGGCATTGGTCTAGCTCTTATTTCAGTTTGTTTTCGAAGTTTTGCTATTTCCAATTTTTCATTTGCTTCCTTTTCTTCTTTTTCTTTTTTAATCTTCTCCTCTTGTAAAATTTTCTTTTGCTTCATCTTATCTTCTAATACACGACGTTGTTTTTCTCTTTCCTCGACATTAATTTTAAACCCAGTACTTTTTAACTTAATTCCTTTGCTCTGATTTAAAGTACTATTATTTGTAATAGACATATTAACATTAGGTTGTCTATTTTCTTTCTCAATACATTTTTTATTTACTTCTAGTATCTCTTGTTTCTTAATTTTTAAATTTGTATTAATTTGAATATTTTTACAAGAAACAGATGCAAGTGATTTTTTTGCCTGAATTGCATCCTTTTTATTTTGACTATCTTGAATTTTCTTTTTCTCAATTTTATTTTTTATTGGATCAATAGTTTTCACTAGTTTATGTGGAGGCAATGAATGTATGTAAGCAGTACTACTTTTTTTACTTCCTTCAAATTTATTATTTTTATTTTTGTCATTAATTTCTTTGCTACTATAAGAACTCATGAGAGGTTTTTTTCCTGTATCAAATAATTTATTTGGCATTTTTTGAGGCATATTAATATCTAATAATTTTAAATTAGGGACTGATTTTGATTTAATACATTTGGATTCTGATTGATCTAGTTTTAATTGTTTCTTAATTTTATCACGATGTTCAAAACTGAAGGGTACTGGACATGTAATCTTTTTTTGTTTAGTATGTATAGGAATATCAAAAAATAGAATTTTTTCTTTTTTAATTATAATTTCTGATCCAGTATTACCTACAATTGTAGTAACCATTCTTTTTGATGCATTATTCTTTTGACAAAATAGTTTTCCTTCTTTGGAAAAAGAAGAATAAGGTTTATGAGTTTGTTTAACTGTAGTATCTGCATTTGCAACTCTAATATTTTTCTGTGTAATTTTGTTATGTGAAGTTGAAGAGTCTGCAGAGTTATTATGCACAAATTTTGTTTCTGATTGATTCTTCTCCACTTGTATAAGCTTGGATTTTTCTTTATCTTTGTGACTAAGTGTTACAACAGGTCTATTATGTGTATTTATCTTTGTAGTTGAACATTTTTGTTTCATAGAAGATTGTTGTTTTAAACCAGAAGACTTCAATTTAAAATTTTTGTTATTTAATTTTATTTTAGAACGATCATTTTTCAAGTCATTGTTTTGCTGTATGTTACATTTTAAATGATCATCAATTTTTGATGTCTTACTAAAATTTTTCATAACTTTTATCGATGAACTTGTGTCTGGTTTAAGCATATCATTGCTAAATAAAGATTCATTTTTTGTTTCTTCTTTAAGTGTATTTCTCTCAATGTCTTGCATTTGTTTATTGGTTGAAACCAATGCAGAATTATTTTCTATTTCACGAATCTTCACAGGCTTGAAGGAAGTTTTACTTTTAATTGGTATTGGCTTCTTAAATATGTTTTCTGTTGATGATACATCTATATCCTTTTTATCATTACATAAATCTTCACAAAGCTGAACATTTTGCATAGCTTCATTCAAAATATTTTCATAACTCACTTGTTTTATAACTTTATGTTTACTATTATTATACGGTGAAGGATATATTACTTTTATCGGTGTATTCTTGAGACTATCTATTTCTGTTTGTAAATTTTCAGTTGACATAGATTTTATAAAATATCTATTTTGCGATTGCACAGATTTGTTGGGTGTTTCAATAATTTCAGATATCTTCTTAGCTGATTTGGTACTTTGGTATTCTTTAGTACATAATTTAGACTCGTAGATGTCATGATATTTATCGAAATAATCATCAGATGGTACTTGTGGACTAGATGTAAAATCTACCCATTGTGGAGCACAATAATTATCCATTGTATGAGTTGTTTATATCAAATATAGTAATTATATATCAATAAAATTACTATAATAACTGTTGTTTAAACCCTATTCCACATTGTATGTAATATCTGGAATAGAAAATGACATTACATCATCACAAATTAATAGTTTTTTTACGAATAGTAAAGAACTTAATATGCATAATAAATAAATAAGAAAAACCAAAAGTTTTTATGTAATGTTCTTATACTATATCTCATGTATTTATATGTGTATATATATATATATATATATATATATATATATATATATATATATATGAATAAAAAATATCACAACTATAGATATATGAAGTAAGCGAACAAATTCTTAATAAATGTTATAAATTATTAAGTAGAATGAGCATTTTCTCTTAGTATAATTTACTTACCCAATATAAATTTCTTCATTGAAATAATGTTATATTTATTAAGCAAATGCTAATGAACTTCTAAATTAATTGAGATTATATCAAATTAATTCACGTGAAGTATGTCTTTTTGTCTTAATAAATAATATTTTTCGAACTACAAAACTATACAACATTGACCGTTACATACATTCATAAAATTCCAATTTAAAATTGAACAGATCTCACAAACATGACGTAGAAAGAACACTTCCAAATCTCTTCAACGCCATCTCGTGAGTGACATGAAACAAATATATCTTTCAAGTTTTTTATAATTAAATTCGTATACATGTAAACATTTTTTCAAAACTCTCTAATTATATTCCCTTTCGAACTTCAATCAATAAATCTAATTAATTTGTAAATAAAAAATAAATAGAATAAATGAAATAATATAATCGTCGAAATGATAAGTCTAATGATCGAAAACAATCTAGATGTACATTTCAATTTCGTGGATTTTTCTTTCAACTAAAAAATATTCATGAAAAGAAAACCACATAAAAGACACAATATAACAAAATTATTAATATAAATTATCGTGCAAAATTGTTTACTACTCGAAGAAAAGGCTATTTAATTAGATGCTATTTACAAAAAAAAATATTTTATATGGTTATAAATAAAAAAAAAAAGAATCTTATTCTTCCAGAAAATTTATTAAATTTTGCGTACATAAACACACATACACATACGCGCGCGCACCATTCAGCGTAACTATAGTTTAACATTTTCATATGCTTTTTTCTATTAATAATAATTCATTCAAATATAATAATAAATTGATATATGATTTGAGCTCTTAAACTCTAAAATCTATAGAAATGCATGTTAGATTGTAAAATGAACAAATTCTAAATACCATTCTGATACTCTTTTCAAATCAGATAAGAATAATTGTTATTCTTTTCTGTACCATTTTTCTCATACTTATCATAACGATCATTGTTATCATGACAGCTCTTTTATTGTTCTTTTTATTATCATTATTATCTTTTATTACTGTAATTATTATTTCTATTTTTATTCTTATAATTATGTGGTTATCATTATATGTTTTCAATTATTATAATTTTATTATCATTATCATTATCATTATTATTATTATTATTATTATTTATTATTATTATTATTATTATTAATATTATTATTATTATTATTATTATTATTATTATTATTATTATTATCTTCATAATCATTATCATCATCATCATCATCATCATCATCATCATCATCATCATCATCATCATCATCATCATCATCATCATCATCATCATCATTATTATTACCCTCATCATTATTAAATGAAGAAAAGTACAGATATTAATTGTAAAATACCTTGTAACATACTAAAAATGTTCTTGCTTTTCAATTGAATAAGTTATAAGAATATATGTACTTGTTTCAAATGAGTGCTCAACAAATTTTTAAAATATCTGATAAAATATAATAATAAATTCTTCTATTTAAAACTTTGCAATTGTTAGTATAACATAGGTAATAAAAGATGCATGATATACATCATTTTACACCTATAGATTGTAGAGCATACTTGTTATTTATATAAATGAATTAATGAGAAAGAATATAATAGGTTACATCTTATTACTCATCATTCTATTGCATCTCTACTATACTCATCCCATTCAGTTGCAAAATCTCTTGCTTCTGGCGATTCCTGTTCATTACTATCCTTATCAGCAACCTCATCAGTAACTTCATCATCTCCTTCCACATGTTCCTCTTCAATAATCATAACAGATTCCTGTGATTCTTCTATTCTACTTCTATCTTCTGTACATTGTTCTTCATCATATTCAACTATTTCAGTTTGTTCTTCAACATATTGAATACCATCTTCCATCTGATGAGAATTATTCTCATCTATAAGTTCAGATCTTTCATCTTGCACTTCTTCTTCCATTACTGCCTCTTCTACTTCCTCTACAACTTCCTCAACTATTTCTTCTGGCTCCTGTGTAATCTCTATAGATTGATAATCGTTATATGCTTGTCTGTCTGTCTCATCATTATCGTGAATATACACGATCATCCCATCTTCCGTACCTTGCATTACAATTTGTTCATTTCCAGAAATATCCAATTGTTGTGGTTGTTGATGATGATCATTCTCGTCCTGTTGTTGATAATTATCGTTATTGATCAACATGATCATCTGTTGACCTTCGAATTCATGAGCATGATAGGTTGTAGTTTGTGAAATATCAGTTATTTCTGGTACTATGTATTCAGATTGATTCTCTACTTCTTGCGTTTCTGGTGATACACTATCTCCAACTCCGAGTGATGTCGCTATCCCACTTGCTACATGACTAAGAGCTTCTGCTTCCGAAGATGGTTCTAAAGAAATTGGAGGAACAGCTGCCGCCGTTTCAGAATCTCGTAGATCCTTGTGAGAACAGTCGATATGAACTTGCAAGTTCGTAACACGTACGAAAGTTTTGCTACAATGAGGACAACGATATCCTTTTTCTCTCCCTTCCACATGATTACCATGTCCAGTATTGATTTCATGTGTGGTAAGATCAGTAATATCCTTAAAAACTTGAGAACATTGTAAACACTGAATTACTTCGAAGGTCGAAGTATGATGCCGAGATGTAGGACGATGATTATGATTTATTTGGTGTCTCACAAGCAAAGTTTCGGAAAGAGCCACATATGAACATGCTTGACATTTAGGGAAACACATGCTCTTTGGTGGAGGCACATTGTGTTTTGTATAAAGATGATACATTAAAATGTTTCTTTTTGTTGCTTTATAGCCACAGTGCTCACAAACTCTTGGATCGAACTTTTCCTCATGCACATCCTGCATATGTCTTCTATACATGTAATAATTCGTGTATTCTTCATCTAAATCGCATTTATTGCATTTCCATGGTCCAGTCTCACCGCCATCTACGTTACCGTTACACTTTGAGTCATTCTCATCTCCATTACTGCTAGACATTAAATGATCAGATTTCAATACCACATAGGAAACTTTTGTTTTACAAGGAGCACTAGTTTCTGTAGACTTCGCTTCCTTCTGCATTATCTTTAAACGTATATTTTTATTATTTCTAATCAAATGCGGATATTTTTTCAATACTTCCCTGATTATTTTTGCGTGATTGTTAATAGAATCGTCTGCGTTTGTGTGACAAGATGAAGATTTTTCCAAGTTTTCTTTTTCTTCAAGATCAAATCTTACTCTTTTAGGTGTTGGTTGTGCATCTTGAGATCGCTCTGATGTATTCGATATTGTCCAATCATCATCTGAATTTACTTCTTTAGGATCTTTTTCATGTAATTGAGTATCATCTTCTTCATCTTCCGTTGAATCATTCTTGACATCTCTATCAGGAGAACATTTAAGAGAAGGTGATGAACTATCTCTTTTGTACTTTCCTGATGCTTGAACAATGGGTTTTGTATTATATGTAATATCATCAAATGAGGAAAAAACTCCAAGAGCAAAATCTTCTGCTTCAGGCAGATCAAATCGGGATGGCCCAGCAGTGATTTCCGTAGGCTTTTGTGCTGAACCTCGCAATTCATAATTTGCAGGAGGTAATTCTAATTTTCTTTTCCAAATTGGAAGCCTATGAATTTAAAAAAAAAAAAAAAAAGTAAATGTTTAATAAAATGTAACTATAAACAACACGATATATGTCATGTAAAAATTAATAAAATTTATATACATACTTTCTACCAGGTAATGGTTGAGCCGAAAGTGTTGATGTACTTGTAGTTACCGTTCCTTCGGTTGGCAATGTCGTGGATTTTGTAATAATTGGAACATTTGATTTTGCTGGTCTATTTGTTTGTAATGCAGTTGTATTAAATTGAGCATCAAGCAGTTTAGTTAATACTGTCATTTTCATCTTTTGTGCAGTACGATATAATGCGTGTTGTTCCGAGGTCCAATATTCCAATTGTCCAGTGTACATAAAACTATACAAATTTTCAATTTTAATATCTTAACTTTATACACACACGCGCACACACAAAACGCTTAAAAAAATATTTTTACCTAATAATAGACTTAACACACTCATAAGGCATATCTGGTGGCATAATAATAATTCCATCAAAATTCTCATCTTTTTCTTTTAACTGACGTTCCAATTGCATAAAGTAATCTGTACATGTTGTGATAACTAAGCGATGTGCCTAAATAATAAATACATATTGAATATATTATATTAATTTATAATATTTTAATTTAATAAATTTATAATTAGTTGTATACGTGTATGATATTATTTGTAATACCTGTACAGTAATATCACTAGTTGGAAATTTGATTGTTAAATCAAGTAATTCTTCTTCAAAATAAAGCTGTTGAAGTCTCTGTAGAAAGAAAGTTCCCCAATTATCCACTTTTACTTGCTTCAATCCTCGCGAAGGGAGTGCTTTATCTCGATTAGTCGTTGCCTGCATTGTTTGATTATCTATAGGCACAAATATTTTATTAATATAACAAAAATGTTGCAAATATACATTTTTTTTTTTATGTACAAGTGTTATATCTTTTTTCCCATAAAGATCAAATTTAATTGTGATATATATATATATATATATATATATATATAATCATGAAATTTACAAAAGTATAAGTAGTTATACCAACACTATTCTGAAAAGTTTGTACTTAATAGCAATTCTATAAATTCTTTTTTTTAGCATTAATAATAAATTATAATTGATAATATAAAATATAGTTATTTAATACACAAAAATTTTATTACCAACACAATATCTGTTCCTTAATGCAGTTGCTGATTACTGTTATGCTCATAAATGTATTATTCTCACAGGTAAATCTCTTTTGTTTCCTTTCCTTTAAAAAATATAATACCTATAGGTATTGATACTGTTGGTTGGAATTTCATATTGTATATATTATAAGCTATTTTATTGCAAAATAGCAATATTGTTCTTATCACTCAAATATATTTAATTGAAGCTGGAAAATCCACACTGTAGTTAATTGTCCAGTTAATTTGCTTTTATACAAATTCTTGCACATTTATTTATTATTCTTCTATAAAACAAAAATTATTAAACTTATCATAAGCTTTGATACTTCACAACTCACCTTGATCAAGATTGATTATGATCTATAACTATAACCATATTACCATCCAATTATCATTCTGAATAAATACATTTCACTATTTTTTATATTTATTTAAGTTATACGAATAATGATATAAATATGTAATATGCAATCAAATTTTAACGTAGTAAACGCACGCGCGTATGATACATTGAAAAATAAAAAAAAATACGTTGGATTTTATTAAGTCATAAGCTAATATTTTATAGGACGCCGTCCGAGGCGGATCGAACGTATATACATTTTTCAAAATTTAATGAAACACTGTACTATACATACATAATGTATGTAGGCAAATTAAAAAAAACGCCGTATTTCAAAGGACACATACCTATTCAGGAATAGTTTAATATGTTTCGTTTAGCTCCATCTCTTAAAAATTTCTTTGCGACATCACCAACGTCGAGTGATGATCTCTCCCTCATAGATGGAGTTAACTGATCGCGAATATAAATCGGTGCGACCAACCTCAAAATATAAAATATCACGAATTTCGTATTTCGATTATTTAAGGCTGTTCACTACCTTTTGTTCGAAGCGTGTGACTTCAGCGACAGCTATGGACAAAATATGAATTACTATATAAACGGGGAACGCTGTTCCTATCATGCGTCGTCTATTGTTTCATTTTATAAACTTATATATTTTACAATACAGTAAATCCTTATGATTATGTTAACTTAAATACAATAATAGTACACTATTATGTAATTTATATATTTGTACTGCATTATATAGTTATAAATACTTACAACAGATCATATGTACTTGTGTAAAATATATGTATTCTGAATTAATTTTATAATTAAAAATGTTTTATATTCTTATTAAATGTATGAATATATTTAATATTTGTACGAGAAATTAATATGAATATTATGAATATTATCTTATAATTATAATACATTGCAATAATTTATTTACAGTAACGATCAGCTTTCATTTTACTTCTTCGATCTAGTAATGCTTCATGTAAATTTCCATCTGTTTTAGCTTTTTCTAAGGCAGATCGATCTTCTTTGTTTATTCTTAATTTTTTATCTTGGAATTTTTGAAATTTACGTCTAAAAAAAGTAATTTATTATAGACTAATTAAGAATTTTTTATAAATATATTAATGACATTGTACTTACACATAGTTTACTTCTACATCAGCAAGAGAACCCACTTCTTCTTTTGGAATATCTTTATTAGGTTTATTGTCACGTTCTATTATACTTCTTATAGTAACATATTCTAATGAACCAGCTGTTTTATTTTGACAAATAACATCATCTTCATCAGTTATTGAAATGAAATTTCCAGTTGTATTACTTAATATAGCAAGTTTATCGTCCTAAAAAAAAACCTTATGATTATTAATATGTTATGTATTAGAATTGAAAATAATATCTATTTGATCCATCATTTGTCAAAGATATTACTTGAAAAATTGGTTCCCACTGTTCAATTGCACCTACTGCATCACTGCGTCCCACAACAACACCATTTTTGTCAACACCAAGATATTTACCATATCCAGATTTTAAAGCTATTAAATTATCACTTATACGAAATGCTGTTAAAATTTCTTCTGGGCAGGGACCTTCTCCATCTGAATGAGGAGCTCCAAGTGTAAAAAGCCCATTGTCAAGAGCCTTTACATAGGTTTGTTTTCCAAATTCAATAGCTACTGTACCTGTGATTTCTTTTGCACTACTTGTTTTCCACCACCCACCTATTTGAAAACAGAAGTTATGTAATATGTTTATAAATACTTATGTTTCTGATATTATTTAACAAATTAGTAATAATATTCATACAATATATGATAAACAAATAATGTATATACCATGAAGCTTAGTATCTTCATTATCAATTGTAACGTTTTCCCTGGTTTCTTCTTTCTTCAATTTCCGTTTCTTTGATCTAAGAATATATCAATTAATAAAAAAAAATCAATTTTTTCTTCATAAATAATTCTTTCTGTCAATACCTTATTTTTTCTCCCTTCAAAACAAGTTTCCCTGTTCTTACTCTATCATATTCAGACATTTTATATCAAAACAATATCTTCTTAAAATAATTCAGCAACTAAGTCTGTACATTACAAAAATTAGTAAATATTTATAATAAACATGTAATCATTCAATCGTAGTACTTTCTAACCTAACCTTTTAGAAACTAACCTCTAAAACTAGTTAAAAAAAAAAAATGAAATTCCAGAATTATATTAAAGAAACGAACATGCACGAGCATGAGCGGATACTCACGAAGTTGCTGATTTGCACGAGTCTACACGAGTTGACACGAATTCGCACGAACTTGCTCAAATGTTAAGTTATACAAATTGAGATTTCCCACTCTATCTCTTCACAATTCTATTATAAATTATATGAATACTATGATTTTCAAATATGTCCGAGGTATTAGGACGAAAAGGAAGGACCATAACATTTAGTATTCCATTGAAAGATTTATATACATTAATTATTAAATTGAAACAATAAATTTTTATTAATACATGAATAAATCAGTCGAAATCAGCTAATAGAAACATAATAAACACAAGTGCCTTAAATCTAAATCTTCTAAATACGAAATTTGACAAAAGTTGATCTATACAAAATTAAAATAATAAATATTGTGTATAGATACTTACCTTTTTCATAAGATCTTATTCTGCAATAAAAATAGACTGATATTATACAAGATATATTACTCTTTTAATAATAATCGTTGGAACGTTATATCTTAATAATGATAATTAATTTTTGATAACTTCATCAAGTACATGTTCTTTATGTACAAACAATATTAATGCAAATGATTAAATTTATTTGTCCGCAATAATATTATTACTATTAAAGTGATTATTGATATTATTTAAAAATTGATTGATACAAGATTGTCATAATGAATCCCTTATTTAAAATCCTTTTCTTAAATTGTTGGAGCAATATTTATTTGATAATTGGAATATGTATGGGTTTAAGTCTCAGTTTGTTTCTGATACCAGTTAATGATTTTGAAAATGAAGGAAAAATGGAATATTCATTTCAATTATCAAATGCGCATGAGGCTAATGATGAATATGAACCTAAAGTAAATATAGCTAATAAACCATTGCAAGCACGAAAGGTACCAAAAATGTTTGTACGTCCAAGATATTATTCTACAGAACTTGGAATTAGAGAAAAGCTTTTTGTGGGAATAATAACTAGTCGAATGTATTTGCATAGTAGAGATATTGCAATCAATAAGACAATTGCACATTTAGTGGACAAAGTACGTTATTTTATCTCAATACCAGAGGGTGTAAAACCTAACGTATCTCTTCCTGGTATAGTAGGTTTTACAGATACCAGAAGTATTTTAAAGCCATTTCATGTCATGAAATATATTACTGATAATTATTTAGAAGATTATGACTATTATTTTCTTATTAAAGATATTAGCTACATTAATGCAAGAAAGTTGATTAACTTTGTATCTAAAATTAGTGTGAGTCAAAATGTTCATGTGGGTATACCAACTGATATACAAACCTACTGTTCTCTAGGTAAAGTATTACTGTTTTGTTTACTTTTTATATGATAAAATAATATACATATATCTAAATGAAACTATCATGATTTTCAGATTCTGGTATCCTTCTAAGTAATTCAATAATTCAAGAAATTAAAACAAATTTAGATTGGTGCGTACAAAATACATATTCAGATATAGATGATATTAATTTTGGACGTTGTATTGTGCATTCTTCATCACTTCCTTGTACAAACCAAATGCAAGGGCAGACATTCTTATCAATAAAGTTAAACTCTGCATTTAACTTTAAACGAGATTTATCAAAATTAATTCTGCAAGAAAATTTTTTAAACTCACTCACTATTCATCCTATTTATGATCATCTCAATTTCTACCGTTTTCATATGTACATAACAGTGGTAAGAATGTCATTGATAAATTAACACAACATATATTTTAATTAATATTTTGAAAAACAAAAAAATAAATGAATAAGGGGCACACTTTGTTTCAGATGAAATCCGTTGATGGCCAACAAAAGATTTTTGATTTGCGTAATGCTATTTTACAAACTAAGCATTTAGCACCAGTACATGAACATAATATATCATGGCCTATTGGCAATCGACCAGGAAACAAGCCTTTAACACGTTTTGATGTTTTACATTGGACATATTTTAATGAAACACATACTTTTTTTGAGACTGACTTTTTAAACGTACGAAAGTTAAAAGCAGATGCAAAATTTGATATAGATCATATAATAAATACAATTACTAATAAAATAATTATGGAACATGATCAAAGGCTAGTATTTAAAAAATTGATAAATGGTTATAAAAGATTTGATGCATCTAGAGGAATGGATTATATTTTTGATCTTTCCTTTATTGAAGTAACTACTGGAGAAGAATTATATAAGAGAATGGAAGTATGCAAGCCATTAGGAAAAGTTGAAGTTTTATCAGTCCCATATGTAACAGAAAATACAAGAATTAATATGATATTAGTTGTAAATACAAACAATAAAGAAGATGTGTTAACTTTTATGGAATATTATGAAGAGAATTGTATGCAAAAGAAATATAAAACTTTCCTTTTATTGGTCAGTATTACTTAAACATTTGTTAATTACTTTTTTTCGAAATTAATAAATAAACAAAATTCTAAATTTTGCAGGTCCTCTTATACAATGTTGATTCACCATCAAAAGGGCAAGCCGATATATTTTATGGTATTAAAAAATATGCTTTAATGCTTTCAGAGAAATATAAAAAGGAACAGTCAAAGGTTACATGGCATTCAATTCGTTTACCAATCATTATAAATGCTATTGAAATAGATCCTATGCTTAAAATTGCTATTACAGATTTATGTATTAAAAAATTCTCTCCTGAGAGTTTAATTCTCTTTGTTGAAACTGGTATGGATTTGAAATTAGATTATTTAAATAGGGTATGTAAACAAAATAAGAATTATATAACAATTATGGATATATATATTATATATTTTCATATATTAATTTTTTAGGTTCGTATGAATACTATAAATCAATATCAAATATTTAGTCCAATTCCATTTGTTGCATATCATCCTGACATAACATATACCGATGATAATAAACATATTGAAGTGGACGTTAATCATAATTATGGAAGATACGATGAATATAATTACAATAACATTGCGTTTTATGTTAAAGATTACATTGCAAGTATGTTTTATAAAATATCTTTCAGTATAAGCCTTAAAATAAATACCATTATTAATATTCTTCTATCGTATTTCAGTGAGAAAAGCTGTTGAAACGAGTAT